TAGTTCAAATCCGGCTCTTTCGGGTCATCGCTTCCTTCAGAGCTATCAGCTTCCGACGGAATCTGAAAAAGTGATTAAGAAGACTAGCTCACTCATAATACAATTAAACTACCTGAAGCTGCTGTGAAGCTGCGGGAGCAGCAGCGGAGCCGCTGGGTGAGTTTTCCGCTGCTGGGACAGACGGCAGGTTATTCGCAGATGCTGGGACAGGAGGAGCTGATGAAGCGTTGGCTGCTGGAGCAGCAGCCTTTGCCGTTGCCTCCGGGGCAACCGTACCACCTTGAGGAAGTGGAGGTACAACTCGGCCTCTCAAAACACGCATCATATTTTGCACTGACACCTTCTGACGAGTTGGGGTATTTGATGTGTCGCTAGCTACAAAAAATGAATTCTAGAGCATAATCATTAGGAGATTAAATCTAGTCGAAAACTCACACTCATCCACGTGGGTTGCTGTTTTCCTCTTCGCTCTTCCTTCCGGATTTATACAGATGCAAGCCTAAGATAGAATGAATGATAGAAACAACATGAAAATAACATGGAATTACCTGTTGCATGACTGCCCGAAGAATAGCTGCTTCGCATCGTTCTATCATGTCGTCACAACCATCGATAATCCTGGAAGAATGAGTTTGGAAAAGAAGAATTGAAAAGAACAAGCAAGAAATCAGGCTAGATATATGACCCGCTGGTGATGTTTCGGCGGGATACATGTGATCACAACGTGAAAATTGCAGATGAAAAAATTTTAATTGTGTCTATACTCTTACTGAGATGACTTGCAAAAAAAGCAGATAGCGTTTTACATTGCAGATTTGCAAGATAATTTACAAAACTTTGCTAGGCAAAAACCTCGACTCTGACATGCTAAGTTTCGGGCAGGCAGTTAGGGCCCTAGTGATAGAGAAACATTGCCTATGACGAACAGAGGAGTCAAAAACTCCAAATTTCAAAAAAAAAATAGCGAAAGCTCAGTATTATATGCCAAATATTTCAAAAACTTATAATCAAAAGTCTGAGAATTGGGCAAACAAACCACTGACTTTTTATAATTGTCTTCGCGCTCATCAGTAAGTACCATGCGAATAGTTG